CCCCAAAACCCCAAAACCCCAAAACCCCAAAACCCCAAAACCCCAAGTTATTATAAATTATAGAAAATGGCTAAGAACTTACGACTCGGTCAGTACAAATCCATCAACGCACTAGCAAAGGTCTTTGAACTCAGAGATGAAGGGAGGTACCTCTTCTTCCTTGAGAAGTACAAGCCATTCTGACTGGACAAGAACTTCCCCAAAATTGAAGCTGATTTTGAGAAGAAACAGCTCGATGCAAAGTCACTTTATTGGATGGTCAAGGATATGGCAGACAGAGCTGACAAGTGTGCAGCCAAGGATATTATAGCTACGACCAAGAAAATGCAAACTTGAGCTGAGAAGGAAAACCTTGATGAATTTTGGTCCCACTTCCCTACTTTAAAGGAAAATGTCACCCATTTCGTAGAGGATTATTATAAGATTTTTCCTCATTTGAAACCTGCAGAGGAAGTGAAAAATGAGACACCTGGTGAACCTAAAGAGGAGCCTAAAAAGGATCCAGATGAGCAGAAGGAAAAAACACCTGAGGATAAGAAGGAGGCTTCAAATAAGGCTTTTAATGCCATCCCAGAAATCCCTCCGTAAACCTTTGTCTGTAATATTTTTAGACATAAAAGTCAACCCAAGCAAGATTTGGATGCTCCAATTAAGAAAAAGAATTTCTTCGCCATGCTAGACGAAGAAGATGAAGTTATTATGAAAATTAAGGAGCAAAAGAGTCAAAATAAATAAAATTAAAGTCAATATCAGAGAAAATGCTGATAAAGAGAAGGATACTAAAAGACCAGGTCTCGATCGACTTAAGGAGTTCAAAATAGCCAATGATGAGGAGGATAGGATTATTAAGAATGCTATCGAGGTATCAAATGCGATCAGTAATGATCCTGCTTTAAATAAACTACCAGAAAAGAGCCCATTCAGAAAATAAATTAGCAGCAGAGGCACCTGCTCAGCTCCCTACTCCCAAAAAGAGCTCCTTCGAAGCTCCTGCATCCTACATGAAAAAGGAAAGCGAGGAAGACAAACTCTTCAAAGCTGGAAAATAAACTCCGAAAGTTGAGAGATATGCAAATAAAGAGCAATTATGAAGAAAAAGGCCAGTTCTCCTCCAGATTTGACGATAATAAAGACACCATAACAAACCCTATTCAAAAATATGACAACTCCACTTCCACTGCCCAACAACATGTATGCCAACCTACAAATTTCCCCCAAAAATCTCTAATTTCCTTCTAACCACCCCATTTGCTCCAATCCAGGTTCCAAAATCCCACAGAAAATTCCAAAATTTGTTCATAATTTTTATAGAAATCTCAAAAGCCCTCTTACAGCACAGAACCTGGTCATAACACAAAGATTGGGCTTAACTCTGAAATGAAGAAGGTTTCTGAGAAAGCAGAAGAACTTGAACAGACTAAGCCGAAAGTGTCAGGCTTAAGGAAGGAAGAGGATATATTTGCACAGATTAGAAATGATCCGGACTTGAAGAAAGTAGGTGGGCCGAAGAGACGAGCCTCTGATGGTATCGGCCCAGTTGAGGAGAAGAGAGAGAGTGAAGGTGGAAATAAGGGTTTTAAGGAAGATTTTAGAATTTTGTCGATGAGGGCAGAGACTCCTTCTATGAATAAACCTGAAATTGAGAAGGGGAAGTTGTCCAAAGTGTCCTCAGAGAATCCTAATCTCAATCTTTTAGCAAAAATACCGTCTTTTAAACCTCAGATTGGTGAAAATAAGCTGGGGATGAGAGATAAACCTCTCACTCAGCAGATTAACTCACCAGTTGAGCCTATTAAGGAGGTTGTTAAAGAGAACTTAAAAGAGCCAGAAGAGGAAGTTAAGGCTAAGCCTCAGGCTCAGCCTGACCCTGATCCGAAGATAGAACCTGAAATAAAAGAAAAACCTAGAGAAGAAAGAAAAGGTAAAATATTTTTCAAGCCAAGGAACTCCAAAAAGGACAACAAGGAAAAACAATCTAACACTAAGGATAATAATAGAAAAGATAAGAAGATCGGACAGGTATTTACCTCTTTCTTTTCTCTATTTAATTCTCTCTAGAAACCAATTCACTTGATGAACCCAGGAAGGAAGCCCAACCTCAACCTGCACGGGATAGACTCAGATGACGAGAATGATTATCCGTTTGATGATGGATTTAAGTGAGTTATTTTCTAGATTTCAAAAATAAGCACTCTCTATGAATAAATTTTCCATTAGATACTAACAAAATTGGGAAATATTGAAATTCAATTGAGCTTAATCAATTCGGGGTTTTGGGGTTTTGGGGTTTTGGGGTTTTGGGGTTTTGGG